GTCAAGCTCTTCTCAGTCTTCTGCCTTTCTGCGATGTTGATGCCCCAGTTGGCCAGGTGTGTTGCCAGATTCTCATCCACGCGCTCATCATCACAGGTATAACAATAAACATCAGCGGTACCCTCTGCACTGATAGAGCCCAGCTTCACAGCGACACCGTGCCCCGTCTCTTTAGCATGCGCCAGTGCGTGGGAGTTCCCGCCGACGCCACCAAATTGGGCCCGTCCGCAACCGAGGGCACCGCATTGCAGGCAAAGCCATAAATTCTCCTGCAAGTCGCATCTTGCGCAACCGCCCAGATCCTGGCTAGCAATCTTTCTTGGCTCATCCTGCTGCAGCGTTAGGACATGCTCGCAGCTGGTCAACTCCTGCTCCCAAGCCTTTATCTCCTCCTTTCGCGAGAACGTATTGGACGTCAATATGCCTTCGATGACCGGGGCGAGCTTGGGGTCAGCCTTATCTAGGAAGGTATTGCAGTCAAGGCATTTGACGGCCAGGGTGTTGTCGTACTTGTCCTCCTCCTTCTCGGCGGCTATAGCGAGCTTCGTTATCTTCTGGGGCGGCTCATCTCTAATAACTGCCCTCCGTGTCCGCTTGATGTTCAGGACGAGGGGATGAGAGCGCAGGACGCTGTGAAGGGCAGAGTGTTGACGGTCGCCGGTGCAACCGCCGTTAAAGCACTGGAGGCAGACGTTGAGGCCATCGGGGTCGTCCTAGTATGGAAGTAGTCAGAATGCGATGTTGAAGAATACATCGACTTGAAATGAAGATTGGCCCTCACAATAGAGTCGAAGCACTGAGTACAGTCCTCTCTGTAGACGGATTGGGCTGGTGTTGGCGGCGAGAAACCTGAGCAGGCAGTCCACCAGTCAGTAAACAAACACACATCGCTCCCTCACCAGAGTATTAGATGTTCCTTACGCAGGGACTCGACGTGTGGGCACGCCATTATGACTTGACTATCGAAATGAGTGGCTGGCCTTGTATCCAATGCAAAGTGGAGAGCACGATCAACGTTAGGAAGAGTGTGTGCGTGTTGTATGTCTTTTGTTATGTGAGGCAGGCAAGCTTAATTACGTTCTGGACTTCAGCTGCAACTGGAGTCGCCTGCCACTCACAGCTTGAATTCCAGGCACCGAGGGGCAAACGAGACACCCCGCGTTCAGTGATCCACACGTGCCCCAGTCTAAGATGCCTGCCGGAAGTGCTGCCTTTTCGGGTCCTGACGACGTACCTATGTACCAAGGCACAGCACTTGCGGGGTGCAGCTTCCACAGCGCCGAAAAAGCTTGCAAGGTTGTCCCTGAGATTAGCGGAGTACCTACGTACTAGCCCATTGAAATTAGTAAGCTCACACTAAGAGCATATTTGGAGTTTACTTGTACAGTCTCAGTTGCAAGGGCCGTATATCTATGCATAATATCGCGGCAACGTAGACAGGCAGATGGGTAAGGCAATGGGCAGCCAGGCAGTCGGCCGGGGCGTGCTGTGATCTGCACATCTTGGCGAGATCAACAAAAAACGGTTGGAAGGTAGAGCGGAGTCACTAGAAGTATTCCATCAAACGTGGGATGGACGAGGATACTTGGAATTTCCAACGCAGTTAATGTGATTGATGTGATTGATAAGATCAAAAGCCTTTGTCTCCACAGCTATGACCGAATCTCCGAGCTCGCCGTGACATCAGTTATTATGTAATTCGGAGTTAGCGTCCCGATTGGCTGCTTAGCCGATACCCCGACATCATTTCTTCGCCAGCGGCGAAGCGTGCACGTCAAATATTCGGCCTCACGGCTTTGTCTCGAGAGCACACCTCTCTCCTCTCTTACCAACTTCTGCGCTTCCCTAAAGTCAAATCAAACCTCCCACACAACTCACCCCTACGATACCCAAAACTAGCACACAAACAACTGCGACTTCATCAACGATCTGTCAACAGTCGATTGTATTCGACGCCAACAAGAAACCCCTCCCAACTTCAATCACACACATCAATATGTTCTCCAGAGGACTCAGAGTCGCCTCCCGGCGAGCACTGGCTACGCCTATTCGGCCAGCCATTGCTAGCATCCCCAGGCAGCTCGCACCAGCTGTTTCCGTCAACGCCACTCGATCTTACCACGAGAAGGTCCTCGACCAGTATGTTTAATCCCAATACCTCGCCTCCCGCTATCAGCGAGCAGTTGCTAATAGTGCATCACAGTTACTCCAAACCACGGAACGTCGGATCTATGAGCAAGAATGACACAGACGTTGGCACCGGCCTCGTCGGAGCACCGGCTTGCGGCGATGTCATGAAGATTCAGATCCGTGTCGATGCCGACTCTAACACCATTTCCGAGGTCAAGTTCAAGACATTCGGCTGCGGTTCCGCCATTGCTTCGTCGTCATACCTCACCGAGCTTGTCCGCGGCATGACCCTGGATAAGGCATCACAGATCAAGAACACCGACATCGCAAAGGAACTGTGCCTGCCACCTGTCAAACTGCACTGCTCCATGTTGGCGGAGGATGGTATCAAGGCCGCCATCTCGGATTACTACACCAAGAACCCCACCGCCAAGAAGACAAACCTGGCGGGCACAGGGATGAAGATTCCTGAGCCAAACACCGCTGCTGCCCCGGCTCCCATGGCTGCCTAAACGATTAGGCTGGCCGGATTGGAAACTTGATTGAGTTTTTGCACACAGAATGCAAACATTGATTTCTATGGCGTTACGGAGGATTGGAGTTGGAGTCTGTCACCAAGTCACCACGATGAGAGGGATATGAGAAAGACGTTCAAGGGGTCGGCACTGCCAGCAGCTGGGTACGAGAAGACGATGCTTGACCCCCTAATGTGGTTCTGGCGCCAGCCCCCTGGTACCAGGCTGGAGTGCTGAGGAGCGATAGGGTCAGGGTGGAAGGATCCGCGCAATGCATCAACGGTCGTTTTACAATGATTATCAATTCTACTTGTCCTAAATCTCGTGTAGAATAAGAAAACCAGAACAGATGGCCACCAAACAAAAAAATCAAAATAGATTACCACGCTGCAATGCACGCACCCGGCCGGGCAGGAGGTCGGTACCATACGCTTGAGTCATCACCGTTCATGTACGCTTTGCCGTGATGACTCCTGTTAGCAATATTTTGCCTCTCGGTCATATATGAACCACAATTGAAGCCTTCGGCGTCTGGTTTATCCCTACCCCTCCTCTCCCACCTTGAGACCCTCGCGATTACCCGACTGTGACTGCCCTGCCCTTCCCAGCCATGCTGTACGTACTGATCACACATCTCAGCCGACATTCCTCAGCGCACACACGTCCTCATATTGCAAACATTGCCATGGCTTATTTGCGACTAATGGGGCTTCCGGTTTACAGTAGACACAAGAAGTAAGCCTGATCGCAGATTCGTTCCAAGACCAATATCTGCCTTGTGGCATACGAACTTCATATGCACTGCATACTCCTTGACGCAAGGTCCACTTCGCCGTCTGAACAAGAGACTCGATGGGATGGTCGCGTGCGAGCGATCAATATCCTGGCACCTTGAGTGGTAGCCTTGTCCGGATGACAAGCTATGTCGTTTGTTACTTTTCCAGTGATTCAGAGAGCAGGGAGCGAATGAGTTTGCAAAGAAGCCTCACAGACCCAATCCACCTTTCAGAGGCTGTATACCCAGCGTCTGCCACAACTCCCTCGAATCGTAGCACCTCCTCAGTGCCTCCATCGACCTTGGCAACGCCCTCACGCCCTCTTCACTCATGAGTTCGTATACCCATTTCGCCTGATTGATGGGCTCCGTACCCGTAGTCCCTCCCACACCAACTTCCTCCTGGCCGATGTCCGCCCACCCGGCGAACAAGCTCCACCAGTCATAGACAAAGCCATCGGTTACCATCCACCGCTGGCCATGCCCCACCTTCTCCCACTCCCCCTTCACCACCCCAACGATAACCCTCGCAACGTCTACACCATGGATCATGTGCAGGCTCCCCTTCCCCCTGACAGCCTCCTTCGTCGTCGCCACCCGGTTAATCCAGTTCCTGGGATCCCGCGAGCCGCCCCACAGACCCGCCAGGTCCAGAACGCAACCACCAAGGCCCAACAACTCGTCCTCCGCTATCGCGCGGGCATCGTCCTTCGTGTAAGGGCTGTGCCGGTCCAGCCACGGCTGCTGGCTCGGGTCCGACTGCCAGATCCCGGTGCTGCCCAGCTGGAGGAAGCGCGAAGAGACGGCACCCTCCTTGTCTCCATGGGTCGCGCTGTACGTCCTGACTACGAGCTCGCTCTGCCCTGCGCCCTTGAGTGGAAAGCTGATGAGGACGTGGCGGGCGCGAGGGAGGGTAGAGAAGGCGTCGATCTGGTCTTTTATCGACGCACTAGGGTCGAAGCGCCATTTCAGCGTGAGCGAGCCGGCGACCTCGCGCCCGTCTGTTGTGGTGGCCGCGAAGGAGAGGTTCTGCTCGCGGAGTAGGGGGATGAGGAAGGTGGCTGTCCAGCCGCCGCCGAGGATGAGGATGTCTAATTCCTGCATGTCTATAGAGGGAGCGACTCCGTATACCTTCAGCACCATGTTATTCGATCTTTGGTGGGGTATGTCGAGGGTCCGGGACAGCAATCGGATTGATTTCTTGTTTGAGTGGGTGGGTTTGAGCCTTGGAGAGTGGTTGGAGATGTGGTTTCAGGTTTCACATCCCGCCTTGACCCGGCCTTCTTAGTCTCACCCGACCCCATACTTAACCATCCACGCCTGACCTGGCAACCGGAGTACTTCAAAGAACCATGCGGACGTAAATAATAACCATCTTGCCACGGCGGGTAAGGTCACTGGGGTTGCATGAATTCAAAAAAAGCAGAAGCTTAAGACTAGGTTTCAGATTACCGATAATACTGAATCTCGAAAAAGATAAATTTAAGATTTATACAAAGCCCCTAACGAGGAAACTTACGAACCTTGGAATTCCAAAAAGATATCGTCAAATCATCATTGATGAATTGGGCAAAAAATAACTCCGATACGGGGAATCGAACCCCGAGTGCCGCGGACATTTAAACATGAAAACGCGGAATGTTAACCATTACACCATATCGGATGATTCCGGTAACAGCTTTTGAGAGATTAAGTAACCCTGAGTTGTGTCCATTTGATCACCAGAGGCTCACACGTTGTTCAAAGCCGTATCTGGGACTGAGAGGGATGGCAGGTAGCATCTGTTGTGGTTTCTTGAATATCACTGGTCTTTAATCACGGATCCGAGGTCAAATGGATGTCCATAGGAAATGAGTGAACTGCGAAGCCATACACATGCGATCGCGGACTCGAGGCCACCCAGAGACTACATAGCAGCAACCTTAGATCAATCCCGTGTTTTCTCTTTTCCGCATCTGGAGGAATTGCGTGATGAACTATGTCCGCACACGATATATATACATGTTAGGGGACTGTCATCCTTTTGGAGATTCCAGTGTCGTATCGACCGAGTCGTGGACAAAAGTTGCCCGATCCCTCAATTCGCCCCCCTCCCTTCCCCATGCCTGCCATCTTCTCCAACTACATGTGTATTTGAGTACTCTCCTTCACATGTCCATTTTCTCTTACCTCAGCGATGTCAGGGAGTTCACGAGGCGCATATCTGCAAGCAAATGGTGAGATACGTTGTCCTGCCATTGATCGAAAAACTTGCTAGATCCGGCTATCCTCAACCTATGGTTTTAGATACATAACATGGCCTTCGAAGTATGCGCCAGCCACGTCAAAATAGGCGCGGACTCCGCGGAGGCCAAGACCCAATCCAAGATCAACGCGGAGATGACCTCCGGGGCTTCGTATGCTTATAGCCTAAATATATCAGCATCTACGCACCCCAGGTCAGACATTGACTAGGAGAAACATATACAGCCAGAGGGTAATGATATGCCCTGGAGCCTAATGTACTTAGCACACCTTACCTGGCACTCACCCTAATTCAGTCGTTGCATAGGGACTTGGCCAATTGGTATTGTTGACAGTGTTCGCTATTTTCTCCGAGTCGAGCTGAGCGAAGATGATATGTATTCCCGTTCGTGGTAGGTTGCACTGCTGACATCGGAGCCCAATTGATACGTGCTCGCGCTCCACTGGCTATACTACGGGTTGGGCCAGCGGCCGCCTCGATTAAGGAGCATTGGGCAAATCACAATGCATCGGCAGGGGCTTCACGCGGTATGTTTGGTCCGATGCTGCAGGCCATTCGGCTTCAACCGCGACCAGTCTCTCCCAAGCGAGCCTTACGAACGACGTCCTTTGGGGCGGATCTTTCAGGAACTTGGTATGTACTGTGATATTGATTAGACAGCCACGTCGAAGCCCGTCCCAAACCGAGGAGGTCACAGACTTAGTGATCAGGCCTTCCATAACATGATGATGTGGAGCCCCTCGCTCGCATCGGATCGGTTGAGGCTGCAGACTCGCTGCAGAGATGACCCCAAGAGGCAAAGTTTGGGCGCGGAGGCAGGAGACGTCGATATCGTGTGCCAATCCAACCATGGCAGAAGATGGCGACCTGCAAGTTGAAGCGGCTCACAGTCATGGAATATCTATTGAACACGTTACCCTAGGGTACATCCCAACATCAATCTCTGGTGTAGGGCGGACGTTCATTGGCGATTTCCCTGCCGCTCGCATGCCCAGCTGGTTGTTGTCAACAAGGTGCGTCGTAGTGATGTCCAACTCACCCACACAGTGATAGCCACTCCTTCTAGGTGTGAAGTCTTCACCATCTGTGAGGTATTTGGGTGCCCCTCAAATGCTCCACCTCCCCGGATCTTGAACTCTATCTCCTCCTGCAAGACATACATACCACATAAAACCCACCCAAGGCCCCACGATATATCCACCTCGACCACACATCAAGAACTGCCCCTCCTTGCTGTAAACTGCAAGAGTCTCCATGCTCTAAGCTCACATTGAGTCTCCTGATATCACCACCGGAGCCACCCCACACTCATCAACTTCACTCGTTGAAAGTTGGGGGGACTTCAACAGCCATTGTTTCGCATCCCACATCGTGCCGCCATGTCTCTCCTACATCATGACACTCAACAGACTCCGCCGCACTCTCCCCGGTGTTCCTCTCGGTCAGCCATGCTGCCCGCGGAGCGTGATCCAAACCGGGCTGTCGACGCTCTAGTCGGTGCGATCCAGAACCTAGTCTCGGACGACAATTATAAAGTCATCGCCGGTGTCTTCAGAGAGGTCCAGGATCTCAAGGTAGAGAACGCACGGCTATCGTCATCGTCCCGCGACACCTTCGAGGAATACCGGAAATTTCGAAACGAGTTGGAGGCCGCGGAGGTCAAGCTCCTCAACGAGAAGACAGAGCTACAACAGTCGATAGAACAGAAGGACTCCCAGATACAAGCACTTGAGAATGAGAAAGCCAATCTTGATGCTGAAGTCGAGGAAGGTCGACGGAAGCTGAGCGAAGAGACCCAGAAGTATGCTGAGTTGGTTGAGAAGAAGGATGAGCTGGAGAAAGCCGTCACGGATCTCGAAGCAGCCCTGGACGGCAAGAGCAAGATTCTCGCCGAATCGGAAGAGGCCAAGGCCAAGCTTGATGCTGAGCTTGCTGAGGCCAAGGAAAGTCTGGACTCGAAGGTAGAGGAACTTGCCACCCTTGAGTCGGCCAAAACGGAGGTCGACACCCAGCTCACGGAGGTGAGGACATCTCTCGATGACAAGACCCAGGAACTGGCAAGCGTCGAAGAGGCGAAGGCCACGATCGAGGCCCAGCTGGCCGAAGCCAGTGCAAAACTCGAGGACAAGACGAAAGAGGCCGAGGAGCTCGCCATTGCCCAGCAAGCACTGACGACAGAGCTGGAAGAAGCCAATACGAAGCTGACCGACAAAGCGAAAGAGTTGGATGAGCTGTCAGAGGCGAAGACCTCATTGGAAACCCAACTAGCCGAGGTGTCAAAGACGCTCGACGACAAAGTGCGAGATTTTGACGACCTCTCAGAGGTCAAAGCGAAACTCGAGAACGACCTCGCCGACACCAGCACACAGCTGGCAGAGAAGTCTCAGGAAGCAGAAGGCCTGGGCTCACAGCTCACTGAGACAAGTACCAAGCTGGACGACAAGACGAAAGAAGCAGAAGAACTCACATCACAGCTCACCGATGTCAACTCAAGGCTAGAAGCGAAGTTAGGGGAGATTGTCGAGCTTTCGGAGGCCAAAGCAGCTGTTGACACCAAACTGGCTGAGGTCAGTGAGTCGTTAAATTCGGAACAGGAGGCGAAGAAGGCGGTCGAGCAGGATCTAGAGACTACCAAGGCCAGCCTTCAGCAGGAGGCGGACCGAGCTGGCGTCCTGTCGGACGAAGTTGCATACCTACACCAAACCCTGCAGGACCGGAACGAGGAGATCGACCACCTCAAGGGGGAGGTGATTGAAGGCAAGGGTAACTTCGACCACGCACAGCTTACCATCAGGGAGCTGGAGAACATCACCCACGGTCTCGAAAAGGAGCTGAAGGCCAAGGCAGCAAGGCTGGACGAGATCGACGGGTACAAGGCCAAGTTGAAGGACGAGCCGGAGGACTCATGGTACGTTGCTTGGCCCCTCTGTCCCCAATCATCGCCTGATCCCCGGCCGTCTCTCCGGAGGATACATACTAATATCGTCGTCCACCCGAACAGCGTCGAGATACTGGACACGATCTGGGTCTCCATCCTCGACCTAGCCGAGAGGCACTTCTCGGCCGACCTCGACGACTCCGTGCTCCGCGACGCCTCCTGCTGGACCAACCTCCGGTCCTCCGAGTACCTCAAGCACGCGGTGCGCATCCCGCTCCCGCCGTCCAACTCCACGGCCGCCAAGCAGATGCGCATAGCCGCCGTCCTGGCCGTGCTCTCGCGCGCGCTGACCAAGCACATCTTCCGCCCGAGCTACCTGGTCGACAACGACGCGGAGCTGTCCAGGGTCCTCAAGGACCTCGAGGCCGTCAACCCGGCGCAGGAGCTCCACGCGCGGTCGACGCTCCTGGCCGTCCTGCCCGAGAGGGAGAGGCGCAGCGCCGCGAGGCGGGTCAAGACGGTCGTCAGGGAGGTGAGCTACCTGGTGCAGCACCTCCTGTCCGCCCTGCAGTACGAGGCCTTCTGCACCGCCCTCGAGGAGAGCTGCGAGCTGGCGCGCCGCCAGTGGAGGAGGATCCAGCACGCCTCCATGAAGATCGAGCCCTACTTCGGCCCGCCGTACGACGACTTCGACTGGCAGGTGCTGCTCCTGCCGGAGAACTTCGGCCCCGGCGGCGGCGGCGGCGGCAGGGTCAGCCCCAGCGGTGGCGGCGATCGGATCTCCAGCGGGTCGACGCTGGGCCTCGACGCGGGGAGCAGCACCATCGGGGGCGGCGCGCGGCTCCAGGACCCGGGCGCGGGCGGGGACGACGCCTCGACCATCGCCGAGTCGATCCGGTCCGTGGTCGACCCCGCCGACATCATGCTCGTCCTGTGGCCGAGCATGTGCGCCGTCGAGAACGGCGAGCTCGTGTCCATCACCCAGGGCCTCGTCATGGCCAAGGAGCAGGCCTCGGCGGCCTTCGACGAGGAGGGCCGGCGCAGGCCCTGGCTCAAGGACCACAAGAAGAGGGCGCGGTCCATGTCCCAGTCGAGGAAGGGCAGCGGCAGCGGCAGCGCGGCCGGCGGCAGCCCCCGGTCCGCCAAGCCGCCCTTCCTGGCCCACCCTCACGCCAGGACCGAGGGCGACGCTGGCGGCGGTGGCCGTGCGGCCTCGCGTAATGGCTCCGCCGTGTCCGATGAGCGGGACTGACGGTTGTGGGGTGGTGCTGGTGGTGCTGGTGGTGCTGCCTCGGCCTTCCCGGGGCCGCCTTGCTACGTGCCCGCCTGGGCGCTTGTCCTGCTACGGAGGGTCTCAATGTCTCTTTTGTACATCTCGGCTGTCGCCTTCCTCACTGTCAGGGTCCTGGTGCTCTTGGCCGTGGCCATCGCCCGCAGTTTGTTTTATGATTCATGAGCATTTGTTTTGACCATCATCAGCGGCAGTTGACCTATCTGTTTTTCCTTGTCATGACTTCTTTCCTCTGTCGAGGGTCTTATT